GAGAGAAATAGAGGGGTGGTATGAAAACATTTATTCTATCATAGATTTCAAAATGCAATTTTTTTTCTAATAAAATTGGCATATGTTAGCCAATGTTTTCCATGCTAAGACATTGTAAATTTACAGCAAAATATTACATATCAAAAATTGATGTAGTAAACATGATATTGGGAGTAGTGTGAAATTCCATAGGTTAATTAGAATTTTATTGTAAACATGAATGACACAAAGCAGTCTGTTATAACAGAATATTAAAATAAAAATGATATGTGTTTGTTTATTTTAAGGACAAAAGGGTAACCCTGGACTTGATGGACTGCCAGAAAATCGGGGGCCTCAGGGTGAACCAGGTTTACCCAGACCCAAGGTAGGTTGTCATGGAAACAACACACAAAAAAGATATAAAAATCTTTCATGTTTTTAAGTATTGACATCTTGTGCTGTCATTTTGTTTTCTCTTTTTTTGGCAACTATATTTGCACCCACAAGCAACCCCTATTTGTTATTAATTTTAAGGCAGTATAACTGATGTCAAAAGTATCACAAGCTAATTCAGGGAATTTGTGTCCCCCGCTTCAAGTTATATGAAGAGCAAGGAAGATCTGAAAAAAAAATGCAGATTGTGAAAGAAAAAAAGATTGACATTGAGCTGTAGCTTTTGGCCTTAAAGTCATGAGGGGTTTTTCTTGATTTAAAGAAATTCAGGACCTTAAGTTTCATTGCAAAAGCTTACTGAAAACTTAAGTTATTATCTGAAAATTATGTATGCAATATATAAATTTCTGACTTTGGCCTTTGACCTTTTCTCAAAATCAAAAGAGTCTTCTTTAAGTCATATTGACTAAAAGTATAAAATTTTATTGGAAAACAAAGAGAACTCTATATAACGTACACCAGGAAGCCATTATTTATTTTTTTTTTACAAGATATGAATTTTTGACCTTGACCGTTTTACCTAAAATTCAAAAGGGATCTTCTTTAAGTCATTGGGAGTAATGATATAATAATATTTAATTGTAAAAGCTCAAATAAAACTAAAATTATCATCTGGAATTCAATTTTTGCAATTATAATTGAATTTCTTACTTTGACCTTTTGTCCTCAAAACCTTTACAAGTTGTCTTTATGTCACAAAGAGCAATGATAAAAAATTTTAATTGAAAAGGCTTTATGAGAACTAAAGTGATCATCTGAAAATCATTTTTTTTAAATGTATGAATTTCTTACCTTGATCTTTGACCTTAAAATCAACAGGGGTTGTCTTTAGGTGACTTGGAGGTATGATATAAATCTTCATTGAAAAAGTTCAAAGAGAAGTAAGTTTACTATCTGGAAACCATTTCTTGCAATGTATGAATTACCGATCTTGACCTTTTGACCTCAAAATTTATAGAGGTCTCCCTTAGGCCATAGGCAGTTGGGCAGGGCTTCAAAAATATTAGAAACAGGCGGTACTTTTTCAAAAATAGGAGGTAGCTTGTGGAAGAGATTTTAATTAAAATATGTTATCAAATTTTTCTCCAATGAATATTTTCGTAATATCAGCCGTGTAAAAGTACCGGGTACCAGCACATTTTGGAAGGCCTGAGTTGGGGCATAAATTTCATTGCAAAAGCTCGAAGGCTTTTTGAGATATTGTCCAGACATAAAGTGTTAAAAACAGATAGAATGACAGACTGATGGACAGACAGAGAAATTACTCATGTCTTCCAATCCAATTAGGATAATCTGTAAAGCATACATAAAGCACATAATGCACAAGTCTCTAAAGTGGCTGATCAAGTCTCAGACTGGATTTAGTGATTTTATAATGTACAATTTTGTATTTTGTTCATAAGATAATTCAAAAGATTGGCTTTAATATGTATCTTCTGGCAATAAAATGTATTTTTTAATCCACAGGGAAATCCTGGAGATGGATTTTATGGATTTGGTCCAAAGGGTGATCCGGGTAATCCAGGATGAAGGGGTCCTAGTGTAAGTATCATCACCATAACAACTGGATTTCAGACGTGTTATCTCGCAATATATATAATGAAATGTAAATCTTAATGTAACTTTAACAAGTTAAGTTCTATGCTTAGATTTCAGTTAACTTTAAAAGCTTTATTCCATAATAAATATTTCTGTAATTGTTCCAGTTTATGTCTGATAATGATTAAATCTTGGATATATCTATTTTTAGGGTGATCCAGGCATTCCAGGTTGACCTGGACCCCCTGGGCCTTTTGGCCCTCCAGGTCCTAGGATAAGAAATGTTCAGTCAGTTTCTATTATGAGACATGTACAATTATCAGAAGGCAACAGGATCTCACAAGGAAAAAATTGATTTTTTTGTTTCCATAGTTTGCTATACCTGTACAAGGTTATACATGTGTTATAGTTAAAATGATTTTAAGACAAATGTAATGAAACTACTTTGCTTAACAAATTACAGTTCATAAATATTCCATCAGCATACAGTAATATAATGAAGTGCCAGGGACTTGTGATTTTACTTTGTGATAAACGTAATTCTTTATATCTGTTAGCTTCACAATAAGTTTAAAACCATGGGGAATGAAAATGACTTCACTGTAGGCATTAATTCATTATAAGTGTGTTCGCTATAAGCATGTTTTACTGTATTTCTATTTTTATTATTTAAACACAAATGTTTATTAGTACCATATTGATTTTTGATATAATAAATGAAAACGGTATAAGGGAGATAATTTTTGTCACTATACACCATTTATTGTTATTTGACAGTTCCTGCAGGAAGTGGTCAAAATAATAACATAAATTTTATTTGATCTTGTAACATTATAAGTCTAGAAATACAAATACGAGGGGCATTTCAAAAGTTCTGGCAACTGGTGTGCGGTAAATTAATGAGCGTCATTATCATAAATTAAATTATATCAATCCCTCAAAATAGTCTCCGTTGACCTGGACACACTTTTTCGGTCTTGAAATCCACGTGGAAAATGCTGCCCTATAGTCCTCTTCCGGTATACGCTTCATACACTGGAATACGGCACTTCCGACTGATGACGGCTTTCAAATCACCGTCCTCGGAGGGCGTCTTTGATAACGGCATTCAACCAAAAATCGCATGGAGCTAGGTCAGGACTGTAGGGTGGATGTGGTAAAACGGCAATACCATTTTCCTTTAAATATTTGGTTACTACCTCTGATCTATGGGCAGGTGCGTTGTCATGGAGGAGCTTTATTCCTCTAGTACTGGTTGTTGGTCGGGTCATTTTATAGTGCTCTACAACCTGAGACAAGACATTCTCTGCATAAAATTGACCAGTAACACTGCTGTGTTCTGGAACCGGAACTTGAGTAACAGGGCCTTTAGAATCAAAAAATAAGGTGTGCATTACTCTCCGGACAGACCGGTTTCTGCGTGCAATTTGAGGCCTTGTATCATTTTCACCGATCCAAACTTTATTATTGAGCTTAGTTTCCGGTTCAAAAAATATATCCATGTTTCATCACCAGTTACTATCTCATTTATTCGCCTTTGGTCACAATCTTCATAAATTGTTAGTAACTGTGAAGCCATTTCTACCCGGATGCGCTTTTGCTCTTCCGAGAGAAGATGCGGCACCCATCTAGCACAGATTTTCCTAAGCTTTAAGTTTTTCTTTAAAATACAAAAAACTGCTGACGAATTAATGTTAGTTAAGTCTGCTATTTCCTCAACTGTATATCTAGCATCATCAGCTATCGTATTTTGAACAGTGACGATTTCTTTTTCGCCATATGCACAAACTGGACGCCCCGAATGGGGGTCATCTTCAATTGATTTTCTACCCTCTTTAAATTGAACTACCCATCTTGCTATTGCTTGATATGAAAGAGCATGCTCTCTATATACTACATCTAAATCGGCTTTTTTTTCTGTTGCTGTAATGCCAAGCAATGAGCGAATTTTGCAATACGCTCTTTGCTCAACAAAAAAATTGTTCTCCTTATCAGTCATTTTTACGCCCAGTATACAGAGTATACCTAATTAGGACGTCATTTTAGCAGACCTATACGTCATTTTGAATGTAAAATACGTCACTACTAATGCATATTTGTCTAAGCTTTACAGTGGTATCAGAGTCATTTTAATCCGTAACGTAGTTAAAATTTTATATACCAGTTGCCAGAACTTTTGAAATGCCCCTCGTACATGAAAGAAGATAAGTTCATGTACCTGTCCCAGTGTTGAGGAATTTTTTTGGTCTGTTTGGTCATATTTTCGAAATAAAGTATATTGACATAAATTTGCTAGATCTTTATGATATCTCTTCATTATTCCAACAATGAAGCCATCAAAAAAGTGGGGTACAGGGAGGGGAAGCAGGAAATATACTAAGTAGTATTGAATATATTTTAGGGCATTCATATGATGTAGTTTTCGTAATTTTCTTGTAGCTCAGTTGAATATTGTGGTACCTTCATTTATCATAAAATGTATCTTTTCTAATTAAATTTTAATTCTTTAAAATTTTTAGAGGCCGACTGGAATTCCAGGAGGTAAAGGGCCAAAGGGAAGCATGGTAGACCAGGGTAGAAATCCCCCCAAAGGTGAAAAGGTCAGTGTTCATTGGTCGTTGAAGTTACAGGTATACTTCTGTAGATAAATCACTTATCATACATTGTAATCATTCACCACAATTTTGTTGAAGAACAGAACGTGTAATGTAAATAGTCTAAGAATATTTCATGTAAAATATCCTTTATTATTTAACCAATGCTAAAGAGGCATTAGAAAGTTTATTTTGGTCACCAGTGTAAATGTAAAACATTGAATTTATCATTAAGAAAATTTTAAAACTGTGTGAAATTCCAGGCTAATTGACCTGTTGTGTTGACCTATAATTTACATGATTGTCTGTTTGTTTTCAGGGAGAGGTAGGATTACCTGGTCTCAAAGGTCCCAAAGGCTCCATCACAACTTTATCAGGAAACAAACCGGACGAGATTCTGATGGGAGAAAAGGGGTATCGGGGAGACCCAAGTGAGGGAGGAAGATCTGGATGACCCGGATTTAATGGAATGAGTGGTGATCCAGTTAGTGGGAAATTCCCTACTGTTACTCTCTCTGTCATAACAATACAACTTAACTTGAAAAGAGCAAGAGCCACTTAGGGCCTTTTTTGGCCCTGAGAATTTCTGAAAAATCAAAACTGCTCAGTTTTGGTTGAAAATGCAGCATTTATAACTTGGACCCTTGGTGATAATCAATTAATTGATATAAATTTTGTTATAGGAAATGAAAGCACTAAGTCTCTACTTTTTTTTGATATATGAAATGGGACAGAGGGTGATAGTCAATTAATTGATATAATGGCATGGCCATTTTATGCATAAAGTGAACCTAGCTCTTTGCTCTTTTATTATTCCAGGACCTATATCTGAAGACCATAGACATGAACAATCTGTAATAAGTTGTTAGTAGTAAAAAAATTTAATTTCATATTATATAACAATTTTTTGAAATACATGTAACTGGAAAACTTAGAGATAGATTTTATTTATAATGTAGCTTTCATTGACTTTTACCTGGATTTTTGTTTTCAGGGATTTCCAGGTTTGCCAGGTGATAAAGGGCCTTTTGGGATGCCTGGAATGCAAGGAATGAGGGTATGCAATGATAGGGAGGATCATTTTGACTCTTTATTTGCCCTTATTTTTATGGCGATTTTAATTTTATGTCTTAGGTATGGTGATAATAATATATTTTGTTTTTTTGACCTTTTTTTTAGGGCAAGAGAGGTAAGGACGGCCCACCAGGACCCTAGTATGGTTTGAATGGAGAACAATGAGAAAAGGGGAGACAAGGCTATGATGGATTACCAGGAGAAACAGTAAGATCCACCCCTCAAATTAACTAAGGCATTAAGGCTTATTTTTGATTTTAGTAAAATAGAGTGGCAACAATCAATAACTGATAGACTAGAAAGTTAAGATTTTACACTATTTATGGAGTTCTGAATAAGAAATTTATAATTAGATCTTGTCACAATATTCTCATCAGGGTAAATTTTGTATATTTTCGTCATCTTTCTTAAGGCTGTTTCTCTGCTTTTAGGGCAGAACTGGAGACCCTGGTTTTCAGGGGATGAGGGGTGACCTTGGAGATCCGGTAGGTTGCCATGACAATACAATTATTTGGCAATGTTACATAATATCTTTATAATGATATTCAATTTTTTTAATATGTATAGATTTCAAAAGTAGTAGTGAATTACTTGCATCACATTAATTGCTCAGTACAGTCCTCATTTTGGAAAATCTAGAATCAGACCCCAAATTGTTTCCATTTGTGAACCTTTCTCCTCAAAATTTGCATGTGATTAATTTTTGAAATTGTACATGATGATTTTAATCCTTCAATATTCCAAATTTGGAATATTTGGAAGCGCAGTTTTTTTTGTGTCATTTCCAAAATATATATAAAAAAATTATCCATACTTATTTCCAAATTCTTAATGAATAAAAAATAGTTTTGATTTTACTAAATTTTAGTGTTTAGAATTCAGTTAAATATTCAAGTACATGTAAATTATTTTAAAAAAATGAAATTGCAGGGTCCAGAAGGAGATCCAGATGGTGGGGGTCAAGGTTGTCCTGGACCCAGAGGTTGACCTGGTGACCCTGGCCCACAAGGTCTTCCAGGATTCCCGGGTAAGTGTTAGGAATTCAATTAATAATTACTAAGTATAAGTAGATGTGAGAATTGATATTTAGACATGCTGTCAGATGATTGATCTTATAATTTGTATACTGCACAGGAAATGACGGTCCAGATGGTCAAATGGGACATATGGTCCCCCTGACCTACCGGGGCCTGATGGAATACCTGGGAGGAGAGGACCTGTTGGATTCTCCTATCCAGGAGACAAGGGAGACCAAGGTATTTTTTAGGATTATTATGTTGATTTGCACAAAGTACAAAAATTTAAGTTTTTTTAATTTCTTATTTTCTTTGAATAATTATAGCATTGTGCACTTGTTTGCATTTTCTCAAACCCTGGTTAACATTTTCTAAGCTCAAGCAATGATTACTTATTTTATTCCAGGTGGCTTTGGTCTTGATGGAGTGCCTGGTTTGCCTGGAATACCTGGATTAAAAGGAGTGCCAGGAGATTTGGAGAAACAGTTCAAGGATACCCTGGTGAACAGGGCTGAGTAGGAAGACCAGTCCTGGTCTTGATGGACTTCCTGGTCCTGGGGAAAACCTGGTCCTGAGGGATTCCCTGGTATCCCTGGAGATGGTCTGGATGTTACTGGTCCAAGAGGTCCTTCAGGATTTCCCGAAGAGGAGGGAGATCCAGGAATCCCTGGAGAGGATGGGCGTGATGGAATCCCAGGAGAAAGAGGTGTGTCATTTTTCTTCAATATGTTAATAGATAGTTTGAAAAAAAAAATGTTGAATTTGTTAAATAATAATGAGCTTTAATATTTTAGCACCAACTTTAAAGAGTTGTTATTCCAGATGTGAACTTGAATGCTGTTACCTGTTGGACAGCCGACTATTCTGTGCTTTGTGAAGGCTAGTCAGCTGGTTCTTATCCTCTGATCATTCATTGACTAGTAGGCTTGTGTAAACTCAGAGCAGATCTAAACAAAACAATAGCATTGTCATGTTTGTGGATATCTTAGGACACTAAAAAGGATTGACTTAATATTAAAAAGCTATGTCACTGGGGTGTATGGGGATAATAGGCATTGTGGGGATCATAAACCTTTTATTCAATTACATGTGCACCTATTAAGGTTTTCCCTTTTCACCATGAATTAACTAGCTTTGATGTAAAGCCAAGAAGTCTTTTTTCTTCATGCAATTTTTTCCCTATCTGTTCAATTTCAGGTAGAAGAGGTGATGACTGTGGGGTTTGTCCTGGGGGTGAGCCTGGTTTTAGGGGAGATCCAGGTGATCCTGGTTTTGATGGACTTCCTGGACAACCAGGTCAACCAGGTTTCCCAGGACAACCAGGAGAACAGGGCATACCTGGAATAGCTGGTCAAAAGGGCATATCAGTAAGTGAAACTAGATGAAAACATTTCTATCCAATGTCTTGGATTTTCAAAGTATTACAAGCTTCAGTTACCTGTAGTTGCTAGGAATACTCTTCAACAAAATATATGTTGCTCAAATCTCAGTCAATAACTCTTTTGTTTTTAATAAACTTAGGAACACCCATAATTTAACAATTTGGATGCCATCTTTATATAAGAGGATAATTTGTTCCCATTCACACTCAGTACTTTGAAAATGCTGTAAGCAAATTAATGACAATAAAATACAGTCAATTCTTGAAATATTGCCATTTGATTCATGCCATCCTCACAATAATGCCATGCTTTTTCTGGAACGTTTTTCCTGTTTTATAAAATTCTCTTTATAATGCCAAATTCACATACCGCCATCCGCCACCCTGTTTTCACAATAAACGTCCATTCCAAAGTGTCAGTTATCTCAATATACCACCACAGGTGCATGTAGTCAGTGAAGCGTTTAATTTGGTTGTTGCTATCCAGATCACCATTGTAAAAACAGACAAGGTAATTAGAGACTTAAATAAACAATAATTTTTATTAAACATTAACTGTATTAAAAATTTGCTTTCTGTTTAATAAAAATGATATCGTTATGGCTTCGCCAAGCAGTTGTTCTTAAAGTTCACCAATAACTATATTGGTTTGACAATCCCTACTTCAAACGATGCAAAGCTTGCTTTAAAAATAGTGATACAGTATTAATTGTGAAAGTTTCAGCAACAACAATGCCTTAAACAAATGTATTTACAGGAATTCCTATTACATATTATTGGCAATAGAACAGGACAATCCTCACTGCATTTTTTAAAAACAAAATTATCATACATAAAAACCTATTTAAAGCATTTTCTTATTTTGAAATGTGTTTTTATGTTATGATAAATACTACTAAGAAAATAAACGCTAAATGTTTTATTTCCAAGAATGGTAACTCTACTTCTTGTTTCCCCAAAGATGGGAAATTCAATTCATCCCAAATTTGTTACACCACATTGAATTCTAAATTACAAAAAGGTGGTGGTTAATTGAGAATTTACTGTAGATGTAATGTAAGAAGTCGGAGACATATATGTCTCTGAAGAAGTCAAATAATTTTAAAGATTGGACCGGTTTACAGTTCAATAACAAAATTGTTGGAATGCTCCCCTCAACATTTGATTTTTATAGCTCACCCAATTAAGCCAAAGGCTCAGATGAGCTGATTTAATTTTTTACCTGATTTAATTTTTTACCTGTCAGTGGCAGATTCAGGGGTTTGGGGGGTTCCCATTGGGGGGGTTCATTTGTTAATTTAATTAATATCTAATAGCAAAGGAAATGGGTGAACAAGGCGTGCAAAATGTTATAGTATGAGAAAATGATCCTTTTTGCCCTCTTTACTGTGTGTATACTAATTCATAGGCAAATAATTTCAATCTTCTGAACCCCCCCGCCCGATAAAAAAAAAAATTACGTGTCATTTTAACGATATATTGCATAAATGCGACTCTTTCCAAGCCCATTGTTTTACACAAAGAGGTGAAATATATAGCCACCATGCGAAATCCCTTTCCGCTTGAGCGCACACAATATACACACAGGTAATCAACAGTACTGTTAGAGATCATGATGGTCCATGCAGCTTCTGATGACACAACATCATACACTAACAACCAAAACTGCACTTAGTTATTACGGTTTTGTTTTGGTATTGCTAAAGTAATATTGTTTCTAGAATTTTCTTCTTTTTTCGATAATTGAATGTTACTTCATTGAAGTACGTGAATAAACTGTGATTATTATTTAATAGAAAAAAAAATTAATACATCAGGGACGTATACTAGTTGTTTACGTTGTGCCTGTATCAAAAAGCACATTGAAAGTATTCCTTTTGTAGATGGAAGTTACAATGCAATTTTAAAAAGCAAAAGATCTGCATTTTTTTAAAAAAAAAAATTACAGTTCCAAATGATGTTGAATAAAACCCAACTAACGGTTACAGCTTTGTATAATGAATTGTGGTAAAACTGATATGTATAAAGTAGAGGTCCTGTCAAAACAAGAATTGGCCACTTTTTTATTGATTTTTTTTCAAGACTTTTTTTCCAAACATTGGGCAGGCAAGTGGGTAAAAAAAAAAAATTAAAGAGTGCATTTATGTTAGAAATTATAATTACCCCCCCCCCCCCCTTCAATGAATAAGCAATAATTCCAATTATTTCCCAAAATAATTTATATTTATTCTTCAATATGAAATATCATTATTTGTTTACATTGCAAATTATATGAACAGTACAAGTAGTTGAAAAGAGTAATTTAGGGTTTCTACACAGAATTCGAATTTTCTAAGTGTTGGAAAATTGCACATCATGCAGTTGTATTTTGGTAGACAAAGCTTCACATGCGACAGTTGTGTTGGACGTGCATTTTAAAATGAAGAATTGGATATTATATAGCAAATGGCGATATTTCTAATTTAATCAGATTTTACATTTAATTTTTTCTTTAGAAAAGTCTCATTTTTCAAGTCAACATGGAAGTTAAAAATAATCCCAAACTTTTAATTTTTTGTTCAATTTCTTGAAAATTTGGGTAGGTCGCTCTTGAAAAACAACTAGAAAAAAAGTGGCCAAAAACTAACTAATTCAATCTGAAATGCTGGAAAATGCACCATTTGGAGCCATTTTTTAAAGAAAATTTCTCAGGGGAGGCTCCCCTAACCCCCACCTATGGGGGTTAGGCCCTCCCTCTTTGGCCCTACGGGCCTCAAACCCCCCCCCCCCCCCCCCAATGGACTTCTGGATCCGCCGCTGCTGTATAAGCTAGGGTTTATCATAATTTTGTATTTTGGGAATCTGCACTGAAGTTGGATAAAACTTTCAGGGTCCAGATGGTTTTCCTGGAGAAGTTGAGAGGGTTGGACCTACAGGTGAGCCTGGGGATTTGGAAGTCCCCTCCACTCTAAAAATGAAGGGGAAGCCTGGCGAGCAGGGACCAAGGGGACCAGTTGGCAGAGCAGGATCACCAGGACCTGGTGGCCCCCGTGGACCCCCAGGTTTCTCTGGGATACCCGGAGAAAGGGTAAGAGTCACTAATTCAAGTAAGAGAAAAATCAAATATCGTTTCATAGTCTGTTAGCTTTTGAGAAGTAGGACTTAAATGATGAGACTTTGTTGTCTGACAATTTCTTCCAAATTCTTCTTGCTTTCCATTTTTAGCCGGGCTTTGCTGAAAGCAAAGTCTTGGCTGTAGGCATCGTGATCGACTGCCTTACTATAAATAGCATATGTTCAGAAAAGTAAACAAAAAGCCTAACAGCGTCAAAGCAGACGCTTCCGATAAACAAAATAGTCACATTGAAAGACGATACTTAAACAAATTTTTTTTACATCTCAATCTACGGAATTGTTAATTGATCAATATTTTTGTTTGAGAATTAAATTGAAAGAGGAATTAGATATTTACTTTATTAGGGTAATCGTGATATAACAATTTGTGCACATACACTACTGAATGCATATTGTAAGCGAACTATTTTCAATAAGCGCTGGCTTTTCGACAGGTTGCCTATATTTCATATCGTTTTCGTCGATGTTATGTGAGTGGTTATATTCTCTGTTTTGTCTTTCAGCAAATAAATAGATAAGTAAATTGGAGTTTAAAGAATTAATTAATGTGCGTTATGCCTGAATTAGGTCGCCTGACAATTGTACATGGTGTATCTGGTGTATCTAGTCGGCGATAAAAGTACTGTTTGTTTGAAACTTTAAGAATATCTCTAAAAATATGTGCATTTCTTTAACTATGAATTACATAAATTATTAAACCAATATGAATATAATTTTTTTAAATAAATTTCTAATTCAAATATATCTAAAGAAAAATCAGCAAACCATATGGTTCAACATTCTTTTAAAAAAAAGTTTGGCAATTGACAGACAAACATTTTTTGTAAAAAATTAATTGTTTTCTTAAAAGTTAAAATTAGTGACCTTAAATGTTTAAATTAGTGACATTAAATAAAACAAATGACTTATATATTCTCCTCACTAGCCATATGTTATTGGTAGAATTAAAAAAAATTGTATGACATTTTTTGTTCGTTTACTGATATTATAGTATAATTAGTCTGAATTTACGTCCGTGATGCATGTATAAACAGTAAGCTCACTGACATTGTCGTGATATCTGTAATTGTTTTTTTAAGATCAGTATAGCATTAAGGTGTCTTGAATGGCAAGAAATTTAATGTAATAATGAATTTTAAAAACATCGGTGGTCATTTATCAGAATGATGTAATTTGGTACGATACCGTGTTAATTTCTGCTGATATTTTCAGGGTTGATCTTGTGAAAACGGCTTAACAGGAGACAATTTATTAAATTTTCCTTTCAAAATAATTGCAAAAAGATGATGATTTTATGATTATATTAACGGCATAAAATAACAGCGAACACCGACTACTTGCAGCAAACAAGTGCGCCGCCATTACGAATTCGTAAAACAAAGAGACAGTTACGGATACTCGTAATTTTCTGAAAAAAAAAAATGTGTAGGAGGTCAGTCGGGTATAACCGGAAACAAACAATTTTTTTTTAGCCTAATGATGTATGTATGTAAATATTCATGAAGATTAATCTTACAGTTGTAATACTGGTAATGCTGTAATGTTTTCAATATATTACTACTCAAATAAATAAGTTAAAATTTGAATGCGTTTAAAGAAAAGGGTTTGAAAATACGGTATTACTTCGATAACCCTGAATGCAATTAAAATAACTTTCTCCTTTCTAATAAATAATTTCGAAAAAAAATCCTTATGATGGTTAAGATCTTGTGTTTGTTTGTTTGTATGTTGTTTAACGTCCCTCTCGAGAATTTTTTCACTCATATGGAGACACTACCACTTGCCGGTGGAGAGCTCCAAATTTTGTCCTATACTCGGCACTTACGGCCATTGAGCAGTGAGGGATCTTTTTCGTGCAAGCACCTATTGCGACACGGGACCTCGGTTTACACGGTCTCAACGGAAGGACCGGTCTCCACGTCCCACAGTGGGATTCGAACCCGCGACGTAAGGATTAACTCCTTACTTCGCGACTCTAGAGCAGACGCTCTTACCACTGCGCCACGCGAGCGGCTAAGATCTTGTGTAAAGGTGATGTAAATGAAGTTCAAAACTATTTGTTTTCTTTCATAATATGAAATAAACAATGCGATTCCATTTGGTTAATATTTTAATTTAATAGTATTAATTTAAATGACTGGGATAAAGATTTATATTCTGTGAAGCATGGAATATAAATAAATAAATAAAAATGTAAACTTTAAGATAGAAATTTCATGTGAATATATTTATGTATAATATATAAATTATTTATACCCATTTAACAATCAATTTAGCGTCGAAAATTTTTATGCTTACAAATTCAGATCAAATTTTTAGTGAAAAGTGGTATGTGGTATGTTTTGAATGTGAAAATTTTGTTCGAGACTTCTCACCTTGGATTCATCTCGCATGTGCTCCCAAAGCGCTTTACAGTATATTGAGCGTGCGCGCGCATTCCAAAAAAAAAAGGTCTCAAAACACATGCAAGCTCTCAAGGGTGCTCGGAAATAAAATTCGTTTATGTTAATATATAATTAAAAGAAAACAACATATAAAAATGTTCATTAGTCTTTATCTAAGTACAACACATTATAATTTTTCAGAAAAAGTTGGTTAGTCTTTGCTTCAAAACTTCCTGTTCAGAATGAAGAGCCATCTATGTACGAGCCATAAAGACCTGAATACATCATGATTTTCTCAGGCAATGACCATTATGGCCGAACCTGGAACTAGAACTAGACTCATATTCATGTCATAAAGATTAGATAATTATAATTTTCGTGCAGCTGGTTTCCTAGAGGACCAAAAATAAAGAATATTTCTTTTCTGATTAATACAGGCATGTAGTATCATTATCAGAAAAAAGGAGAATTGTCCAAACCCGAAAATCCTATTCCGTTGGAGAAGGAGTAGGGGTGGGCTACAACTTACTTTCACATTTCGAATTTCATTAATTCATTACCAAATTACCGTACTTTTAATATGCTACAATAAAATGATGGTACAATCTAATTAAAATTAGACTATATCCATTTTGCTTTTAGTAAATCTGTTCGTCGCTCGTGATAAATACCTGGTTTATATTACGAAGAGTGAGATGAAAGTTCCAATTTAAATTTGATTGCGAAGAGTCAATCAACCTTTCAATGTACAATGTCCATTGTAAAAGTTTATGTTTGAAAAATGGTGACACCCCTAGCTCCTCCGATACTATATATGTGCCTGTATGAATCAGCAAAACCACTCAAAGTGCACTGTTACCATGCATAACCACTGTGAGCTTAATGTTTAGAAAGGTATAAATGTATTTTCATGAAAAATATCACCAAGTCCTATCCTGGGGTCTTAACGTTGGGTTCTGGACCGTAAATTATTGGTAGATGGGTTATTGTTAATCATAATCATACAAACTCTACCTGTTAAATATCAATGGTCAGAAAGAAAGATTTTCAAATATGTACTAATTTAGGATTAGACAATACACTCGAACATATTAAAGCCCGGCTTTCAGTACTTTCAGTACTTTGATTTCAACTGTATGGATCTAGAAGGATATGGAGAAACATGTATAGATAATGCACAGAATAAATGTATGGGAAATAGTACAATGTGGATAGTATTAATAAGTTTTGCATTTACTGACACCTTTCTCTTCTAGTTAAAAGAAATCATAAAGTGGTATACAACCATTTTAGATACATCGTAATTGACAATCTGTTCGGCTTTGTTTAAAAAGATGTAATTTTTAAAATAAATGATGAATGGATGATATAATGTCAATAGTTCTATCAATAGTAGCCCGAAAATTTACAGGAAATCGCTTATTTTTAAAAAGTTACTAAAAAGATAACAAAGCTACTTAATCTATGCTATGTCTAGTGTACTCTATCCAGTAAATCAATAAAATTGAAATCATGTCATCATGAATGAGGATAAAGATAGAATAAAGAGATGGCATTATGGAAAGAAATTTTATGGTTTGAATTTATAAATATTTTTGATATTTCCAGGGTATTTTTGGAGACCCAGGACTAGAGGGCTTGGATGGTTTGCCTGGACTACAAGGGGAAGATGGCCTGCCTGGTGAATTTGGAGATTCCATTCCTGGAGAAGTTGGACGCTCTGGACTGGATGGTTATGAAGGGACCCCTGGATTAAAAGGTAGAGCCTTTTTACTGAGGCAGTATATAGAATAAGTAAGGAGTGAAAGCAAGTCATTTTGTTTTAAATTCTATAAGATGGTATCCCCCTCTCCAAAAAAGAAAGAAAGAAACAAAACATACATAAACAAATACACTTTCTAATGCTCACATTTGGAAAGTTGCATGTTGCTTCTTGCCATTAGTTTCGTATTTTAATGTACAAGTGACAGGAATTGTTTTTTAAAAGATTTTTTTTTTTTAGCTCACCTGAGCTGAAAGCTCAAGTGAGCTTTTCTGATCACCCGTTGTCCGTCGTCTGTCCGTCCGTCTGTCCATCCACTTGTAAACTTTTCACATTTTCAACTTCTTCTCAAGAACCACTGGGCCAATTTTTTTTATCAAACTTCAAAAACTTAAAAAGCATCCTTGGGTGAAGGGGAGTTTAAATTGTTAAAATGAAGGGCCAAGTCCCCTTCAAAGGGGAGATAATCACGAAAATACAAAAATTGGGTGGGGTCATTAAAAATTCTTCTTCTCAAGAACCACTGGGCAAGAAAAGCTGAAACATATGTGGAAACATCCTGGGATAGTGTAGATTCTAAATGTTCAAATCATGACCCCAGTGGGTATGGTGGGGCCACAATAGGGAATCCAAGTTTTACATTGAAATATGTAGTAAAAATCTTAAAAATCTTCTTCTCAAGAACCACTGGGCCAGGAAAGCTGAAACTTATGTGGAAGCATCCTGGGATAGTGTAGATTCTAAATTGTATAAATCATGACCCCCGGGGGTAGGGCGGAGCCACAATAGTGAATCCAATTTTTACATAGAAATATGTAGTAAAAATCTTTAAAAATCTTTTTCTCAAGAACCACTGGGCCAGAAAAGCTGAAACTTATGTGGAAGCGTTCTGGGGTAGTGAAGATTCTAAATTGTTCAAATCATGACCCCCGGGGGTAGGGCAGGGCCATATTAGGGAATCCAAGTTTTACATTGAAATATTTAGAAAAAAATCTTGAAAAATCTTCTCAAGAACCACTGGGCCAGAAAGGCTGAAGTTTATCTGTTGCCTGATAATCCAATAAGCACACACTGAAAAGTACTTTTGATCAATCTTATTTTATTCTGTCTATTCCTTATTCGTTTAGGAAATGTTGCAATTCGAATTGATATTTTGATTTTTTTTATAGAAGATAAGAAAATGCAATATATGTATTAAAGTGGTTTCTGGAGAGAAAAAATTGGAGTCAGTTGGTCAAAGTTTGCCACTTAAACCAAACTTGTCACAAAGTGTCCTTGGGTGATAGGGATTCATGTTTATTCAAATGAAGGGCCACAAACAAAATAAGTTGTTTCTTACAATGAGACTTACAGTTAAACATTTTGTGAAAAGGGTTACAGCTTAATGTTTTTGAACAGATCTTATTCCAAAGTAACTGAGCCCTATGGTGACTAAACATGTATGGATGATGCATCTAGGGATGCACACTACTAGGCTTGCTTCTGAAGCTGGATCTGACCTACATTTTTTGGATGAATAAAGTTTTTAGCTCACCTGAGCCAAAGGCTCAAGTGAGTTTTTCTGATCACTTTTTGTCAAGCGTCCGTCTGTCTGTCCGTCCAGCTGTCTGTCTGTAAACTTTAAACATTTTCTACTTCTTCTCAAGAACCACTGGGCCAATTTCAATCAAACTTGCCACAAAGTATCCTTGGGTTAAGGGGATTCAAGTTTCTTCAAATGGAGATAATAAAAAATTAATGAAAAATTAGTAACATCTTTTAAAAATCTTCTTCTCAAGAACCACAGAGCCAGGAAACTCATGTGGAAGCATCCTCAGGTAGTGTAGATTCAAGTTTGTTCAAATCATGACCCCGGGGGTAAGGCAGGGCCACAATGGAGGATCAAAGTTTTACATAGAAATATATAGGAAAAACCTTTAAAAATCTTCTTCTCAAGAACAGCAAAGCCATGAGTCATATTTATATGGAAACATCCTCAGGTAGTGTAGATTCAAGTTTGTTCAAATCATGACCCCTGGGGGTAGGGCGGGCCACAATGGATTATCAAAGTTTTACATAGAAATATATAGGAAAAATCTTTAAAAATCTTCTTCTCAAGAACAGCAAAGCCATGATGAGTCATATTTATATGGAAACATCCTCAGGTAGTGTAGATTCAAGTTTGTTCAAATCATGACCCCTGGGGGTAGGGCGGGGCCACAATGGACTATCAAAGTTTTACATAGAAATATATAGGAAAAATCTTTAAAAATCTTCTTTTCAGGAACATCAAAGCCCTGATTGGTCTTATTTATATGGAAGCATCCTCAGGTAGTGTAGATTCAAATTTATTCAAATTATGACCCCTGGGGGTAGGGTGGGGCCACAATGGAGGATGAAAGTTTTACATAGAAATATATAGGAAAAAATTTAAAAATCTTCTTTTCAGGAACTGCAAAGCCATGATGAGTCATATTTATATGGAAACATCCTCAGGTAGTGTAGATTCAAGTTTGTTCAAATCATGACCCCCAGGGGTAGGGTGGGGCCACAATGGAGGATCAAAGTTTTACTAAGAAATATAAAGGAAAAAAAAATTAAAAATCTTCTTCTCAAGAACAGCAATGCCATGCTGAGTCATATTTATAAGGAAACATCGACAGATAGTGTAGATTCAAGTTTGTTCAAATCATGACCCCTGGCAGTAGTGCAGGGCCACAATAGACTATCAAAGTTTTACATAGAAATATATAGGAAAAATCTTTAAAAATCTTCTTCTCAGGAACATCAAAGCCCTGATTGGTCATATTTATATGGAAGCATCCTCAGGTAGTGTAGATTCAAATTTATTCAAATCATGACCCTCTTGGGTAGGGTGGGGCCACAATGGAGGATCAACTTTTTACATAGAAATATATAGGAAAATTTTTTAAAATCTTCTTCTCAGGAACAGCAAAGCCATGATGAGTCATATTTATATGGAAGCATCCTCAGGTAGTGTAGATTCTATTTTGTTCAAATCATGACCCCTGGGGAAAGGGTGGGGCCACAATGGAGGATCAAAGTCTTAAATAGAAATATATAGGAAAATATCTTCTTCTCAAGAAATGAAAATCATGTTTAGTCACTTTGATATGGAAGCATCCTCAGGTAGTGTAAATTCAATTTTGTTCAAATGATGACCCCTGGGGTAGGGTGGGGCCCAATAGGGGATCAAAAGTTTTACAAAAAAACATGTACATATAGAAAAAATATCTCTTCTCAAGAACAGTAAAGCTGTGTTTAGTCATATTGATTTAGAAGCATCCTTAGGTAGTGTAGATTCAAGTTTGTTCAAATGTTGACCCCTGGGATAGGGAGGAGCCACAATGGGGGATCAAATTTTTACAAAGGAATATATGAGAAATTTTTTTTAAAATCTTCTGAAGTACAACAAAGCCATTTGTTATATTGACATGGAAGCATCATCAAGTAGTTTAAAAGTCAAGCCCCCCCCCTTCCCTGTAATCTTTTCAATACTGAACTGATTTGTGCTTTTGCCTAGCCAATGTGCTCAGGTGAGCGATGTGGCCCATGGGCCTCCTGTTTTTTAATCCCCAGCAATTGAAGTTTTGGGGGTTATAAAGGAAACACCTAGTCAACAACTATTCCATAATTCTAAAAGAATATTCATGACCAGAGGATGTGTCATTTTTTAAACCAAAGTCTTTTTAGCAAGTTCAAGGTTGAGGGGGGGGGGGGGGTACTATTTTATGAGCTTGTTCATCGTACCTCTAGTTGGAGCAAGTTTCATTCCCAATAATTGTATTAAGCCCTTTGATAAACAAGCTATCATGGGTGATGCATTGATACATCTAAGGAGGCACACTACCAGACTTGCTTCTGATGCTGGATTTGTCCTACATTTTCTGGATAGTTGACCAGATTATAGTTTTTCAGGCAGGTCTATTCCCAATGAACTATAAATCCTACCCATACCAAACTTGCAAAGATTGATGTATCTTCTAGGGATGAACACTACCAGAACATTTATTTGGTGTGAGGTGAGGCTTTGCCTTATACTGGTAGATAACAGTGTCAAGGTGAGCTTTGTAAAGTAAGATGCTTAGAATAGCAAATCCCTCTTTGTTGCATGTTTAAATGAACAGCTTTCAAATTACAAAATTCAAGGACAGCATGCATGTTGCATGTTTTCCTATCTTTTTGTCCCCCGCTTTCACTGAAAGTGGGGGATATTAATTTGGGTCTAGCTGCCCGTCTGTCTGTCCAGCTGTTTTTCTGTCTGTCTGTGACACTTTCGTTTCTGCGCAATATCTCGAGAATCTTTTGAGCTTTCGCAATGAAATTTTGCATAGCAACCCCCTATGGCCTAAAGAAGAACCCTATTGATTTTGAGGTCAAAATATCAAAGGTCAAGGTCATAAATTCTGTCTGTTTTAACAATTTTGTTTCCGCTCGATATCTCGAGAATCCTTTGAGCTTTTGCAATGAAATTTTACATAACAACTCCCTGTGGCCTATGGAAGACTCCTATTGATTTTGAGGTCAAAAGGTCAAAGTTCAAGGTCGTAAGTTCATACATTTTGTTTGTGTGTAACACTTTCATTTCCCGGCAATATCTCAAGAAGCTTTTGAGCTTTTGCAATGAAATTTTATACCTTAACTCCCTAAAGCCTCTCTTGCTCCTCTCAAAGTGTCCCGCCCTGTTTTTTAAATTTTTTATTTATTGTATTAAAAGTTCTTGGCACTATTTTTAGCACAGGGGCATGTGGAGAGTTATAATACAGGTTGTTGGCGGACTTTATATTCTAATTGCGTCTATAAGAACTGCTTAGTAAAGGCTAAATTAGAGACCATGTATTGTGTAAAATTTTGACAATATCGAACTTGAATATTGATAAACATTATATGTGACCTAATGTTTGCATTTAATTTCTTGTATAATCAAGTGGCATCTGTGGTCTAAGGGTATGATTCTTGCTTAGCAAGTGAAAGGAACCGGGGTCAAATCGCGGACGATCCTTTTTTTTTTTTTTGAATTTTTTTTTTTTTG